AGCTTACGTTTTCAACTTATCTGTCAGAATACTTTAGTGATGTTTGAAATGGCGCAGTTTTTTTTGCATTAAAATTCTTAATATATTTTTATTACCTGTTCTGTTTTTCTTTTGGAGCTATGTTTTTTACTGAATTTTTGTGATTTTCATGCAATATATCTTGATCATATTTGGATCGCCTCTCCTCTCTGGACCTCCCATTACTACCCCCAACCAATTATATAGAGAGTCTAATTCATTCATTCAGTGTGGATTCATCCACTGGAGCCTGATTAACCTACAAGAGGAACATCCTTGAAAAAGACTGACTTTCCTCTTCCCAGCAGCCATTGATTGTCAATAGAGTCTCATGTAGGGCTGAGGTTTTGTCTGGTTTGAGCCTACGTGGGATTTGTGCATCTGGTCACTGGAAGTAGTGGGGTTTTTAAGTAAAGGAAAGGGAACAGCAGGCTTAGGTGAATTAGGAAGGTTGACTTCAGGGGGGCAGGGTGCTACTTGAGTAAGGGAGAAAAATCCCAAACTCACAGGCCACCCTGACAGCTGCTCAGCCAGAAGGCTGCTGTCCTGAGCAGCAGAAATGGTCCTGTCCCTTCATCCTCTGCTCAGCTGCCTTTGGTTCAGCTGCTGTGAAGGGAGCAGCAAGACAGCTGCACCTCAGAGGGCTGGATAAAGATCTGGAGGAGGGGAACAGAATGTGAGCAATGCCCGTTAGTTCCTGAGCAACCCTGGCTCAGACATGAGGAGTACTGGGCCAGCCAGGTCTGGTCTTTGGTATACTCACCACAGTCAAAGTCATCTAGTTCCAAGGGGTCTCCATAAGTGGCTGTTCTCCGGAATTTGGACTGGTAGATCTGAGACCAAGACCTATTTTCTAGAGATGGAAAAATGACTCTATAGGTGGCAGCAGCATGGTTATTCCAATTTTATTTTAAGGCATTACTCTAGTATTCTCTCTCTCCTTATCTATCTACACCCCTTAAACGTGTAAACTCCTAATCCTTTGGAAGAAAAACATTTGAAATAGCCATAGTTGGCACTCTCTGGCTTGGTGTTGATAATTTTCCAATTTGTAGATATAATAGCTACTGTTCACGTTAGTGATTATACCATATTGTGTTATGAATATAGCAACCTAGGAAATGGACTTTTTTTCTCCTTGCTTTACAAATTAAGAAACAGGGTCTGAGCTTGTTTATCAAAGCCGAGAACACTAAGGAGCATACTGCCCTAGGGATTCCACTGTATGGTACAGAAATTCTTATGTAGTCACATCTTCCTATAAAATAACTTCTCATAAATTTCAAGCATTGTGAAGGGAAAGGTCCTAGTGGGAGCAACATCCATGTTTCTGCACATGAATTATGAGGCTGAGAGGTAGGCCTGAGCTTCAGAGCCACCAGAATGAAGGACAGATGATAGGTCAATGCAGTTCAGAGCCTCAAGGCTTGTCTGTGTCCTAAAATCAGAGTGGAAAACCAATCAGTGCTTTGTTTTAGTCAGTCCGTATTGATTAACCAGCTCCTGGGAGCAGGACCTTGGTCACTATTACACCACATGGTCTATGTTTCCTAAATTGAAGTCAGCAAAGGTTAAAATAGAAGACATTCTCATGCCCTTGGGGGGCTTTTGGTTTATTTGGGAAAGAACAGAATACAGACTTGTTACTTGAAAAGGGTATGGACATCCAAGGACAAAGTCTCATGAAACAAGCCAGTGAAGTTTCTAGCATGAAGGCACTTAGAGGGGAAAAGCCTGGGTTTGGGAGGTGGGTTGGACATTTTGACTCAGTATAATGAAAGCCTTGGTAACCAAGTTTCCTAAGGATTGAAGGGCAATTGTTAGAGTCAGTGAAGTTTTGGCTATGGGAGGTATTTAAACAGAAGCTGAGAAGACAGGGAGCC